AGACTCTGCACAGAAATCCCACTCAAACCACAGAGGCATGAAGTCTTCCCCTGCATCTTTCCAGGGGGTTTAGAGTTCATAAGCTGTTTTTTAAATTGCCTGTGTTTAAAACAGGTGCATCCAAGATGCCATTGAGCAACAATTAAAATATGCAGTCTTAGAGAGTACATGTATTCTTTGACCCATTGCCACATACCATGGCACTAGAAAAATAAAACAGCATGAGAAAATATGAGAAACCTTTTTATCTGCTAAGAAAATCCAAGTTTGCACGGGCCAGATGGTTGCATAATTAAGAGTGACAGAATTTTATACTTTGACTTTTGTTTGAGTTCATAAAAAAACATATTCCAAAACAGTTCAGAAGGAATCTGTCAGAACAGCCGATTTCCTAAAACAGTTAAAATAAGCGCACAGAATTCTGAACAGAAACAAAACGCATATAGTCTCATTCTCCTTAGTTCCACAGTGACTACAGAGTAAGACTAACTGCCAATACATTGAAAAGCTAATAGACCGCGTGCTGAAAACAAACAGAACTTTAGGGCATCTCAGTACCCGACCAAAGAAACAGAGTAAATGGCAGGAATACAATCGAGAAGTGACAGCTATCTTGTTCTATTTAGAGACTTGAAAGCTCTAATGTTAAATGCTGAAAAGTCTAAAATACATAAAATAGTTCTATTTTGTTTTGCTCCCTGAATTGAATAGTCACAGCCATGTTGAGAACAACTATTCAAGAACTTAAGAAAAATGCACAGGTACCTTCTGGTTCAATAGCATAAAACACATAGGCAAGCAAACACAGGATGCGAGAAAAGTCACTACGTGGACAGAAGCCGAGTCCTGTTACGTTTAGCTTATTTAAATAACTGGTTCTTACCCAAGAGAACCACACATAAGCACAGGAAGATCCCAGCATGCCTCCTCCTGTACACTAACCATTAATACTACTTATCAGGAAAACCCGAGTGTGACGTTGCAAGAAGAGTAGAGATTTATAAAGTAATAAATAACTGAAAACATCTTAGTGTTTCTTATGTTTAATTTTTCTATAACACACAGCCTGAAAGGACAGAGTCTGCAAACAGTTTCTGGAGTTTAGTCACTTGAGTTACTACACTGGGGGGTGGGGGGGGGTGGGGGGAGGGGGGGGGGAGGAGGAGGAAAGATTTTGGCCAGTAACATACTCCTCCTCCTATACTTCTCAGTCTTTAATCTACAAATAAATCTATAACCAAAATAAAAGTGCAACAGAATTCCCACCTAGATTGATAGCAAGGATGGAAACTCGAAGCAGAGGAAGGCATGAGCAGAACAGTTCTGTTAGAAACAGTTCTGAGAGCATAAGAACAAGAATTTAATGAAAACCATGATACAGTCTTAACTGCAACTGACAGCTTTGTGCAATTCAAGGCATTCTGGATTTTAAAACACATTGTAGGGATGCAAAGGTGCTGCTTTAGTTTTATTTAATAAGACTTCGTCCATAAGTAGCAAGAAAAGCTTTCCAAACACACTGCTCTACCAGTATTTTTCACTCTGCTATGGAGGAACTATGGCGTTGCACCTTTAAAGACAGTACAGCAATTCACACAGATCCAGACCTCTTTGAGCTTACCAACAGCTTCAAAGTATCTTAGTTAATCTGTGACACGGAAGTTAAACTGAAACCCTGAGTCACTTCACATATATAGCACAATCACAGAGGGAAAGGAAAATATTTGTGTACTCAGCCACTTGGACTCATCTAGCAATTTACCTGTCAAAGACATTTGCTGGCAAAGCCCGGGGAGAGAAACACTGTTCTCAGAGGAAGAGCTCCTATAAATACGACAGCATTGCAACACTCTCTGAAGTCTTATTTCAAATACAACGAATTCAAAGATAACTCATTAAAACCCTGCAATTATTTCTACAGTCTTCACTTTACAAAGATGCATATGCTACACATAAGCCATCATTTGTACCCACAGCCTTCAGACCACTGGTTCAGACCTTTTCCAAAAAAGCAAATCATTTGAAAACTTTTTTACTCTACTTATTTTGCAGAAAGGGGTTAAAAAAAATTAATGCAAAAGTCTATCAGACTTCTTTGTTTCAAGCCCCAGACCCCCACCTCCAGCAAGACCAACCTTAATGCAGCACCACTGCCCCTTCAGCTAACACCTGCCCAACGCTCAGTCCCAAAGCAGCACCTGCCAACAGTCTCTCATGAAGACTGTCGGAGACGAGCAGTGGTGGTTCCATTCAAGTGTTCTCTCACTAGTTCATCAACTAAAGGGTATTTCATACAGTCCTTCACCACTTTTCCTAAAGAAACACAAAGACAAAACACAGCGGGACGGGGAAAAAACAACATGCAGTATGACTCAGAGAGGCAGGTCTCATTGTAAAGTCGGTATATTTAAGATATCTTCCATGCAAAATCTACCTATAAAAAACCCACATTGGAGTTTCATAAGAAGGTACAATTAAAATAAATGTAATTCCCCCCTCCCCCAAAAAAATTTCAGGAAATAATCTGTACTTATAGATGTTCATACCAGTGAGACATCTGTTCTCCCCTCTTCCCTGCATTTTGGCACTCCATAAACCAAGGCATTCAACCTTGCAGAAACACATGCTGAGAATACTTCTCCTACTGCATTTTTTGAAATTGCTGTGCTCTGATATAAACAATCATAAAATTAGGACTGACACTTAAAGAAAAACCACATAAACGGTACAAAAAGTAAATATCTGCTAATCCTCCTTCTTCTCTTTCAGGACCTCCACTAACAGCCACGTGACATTGGTAAGAAGTTTTTCCTGGATAAAACTTCCTGGATAAAATTTTTAAAAAGGTAACTTTTTAAATCATGCATATTTTTGGAAAAGTAAGTTTAAGTCTCTTACACATTTCCTAATTTCTTAACATGCTTATACAAGGAAGCTTTTTCAAAGAACAAAGCTCTCCGCTCTGTAATCTTTTATGTGAAATAAGGGTAACTATATGGCTCTATCTCTCAGCGAAAACATCTGCAGGTGCAACAGGATGACAAAACTTCTAGTTCTAGATGACGAGAATAACCACCAGTATCTCTGAAACAGCCAGTTTCTTTTACCAGCCCAAAGATCTGACGGGGGATGGAAAAACCACAAACAAACCACCTTTTCAGAGTTGCCCTTCTTCATTACGGGCAAGTTTTACCATTGCTTTCAACAGAATAGCAACATAAATGTAGACAGGTGAACAGCTTACCTCCTCTTCAGCTTCCTGACAGAAGTACTCTTCCAGCATTCAATTTAAAGCAATCAGAAATCAGGCCTATATGTGACAACTCCATCTCAAGACTTTAGTGCCTCATTATTGACCTCTTTCTATACAACCAGCCCACTCTTATCTTAAGGCACCTAGTTTAACTGTTTTGAATTTGAGCAGATATCACTCCCTCAATGAAAAGTAAGTCTCAAGAAGAATCCCCTTCTTACTCCTAAATATCTATTTCCAACAT